CTGTGCTCTCTGCGATGCAAGATTTACTGACCTCAATTCAAATTCCAAATTTGCTCTTTTCTGGTGATTTTAATGCTCATAATGTTTCGTGGGGACATAAAGGGTAGACTTCTGGAAGATTTTATATCCAGTTTTAATCTCGTGAAACATAATTCACATGATGCTCCTCCGACTTTTGATCGTCACATTCACATGGTTGGCCAGATTTGACTTTGTCTACTTTGCCTATGGCCTCTCTTCTTCAAGATTGGCGAGTAATTAAGGGTCTAAGTCTATCAGACCATAACTATATACGTTTTTCACTCGCGGGAACTACAGCCACCTCCATCATACGGCGTTATAATTTACCTGGCCGAAAGGTCAGACAGTTTACTGCAGCCATTCAAGCCAAATTGGCCTCTTATCATTCTCGTCTTCAATCTCTGCATTCTCGTGAAGATCTACAAAATTTTACTAGTGATCTTATGGCTACCATTCGAACAGTACGTGATAATGTTTTGCCTACTCGTACCACTAAGAAGTTATGCTCGTACATTAAATTGGTGGAATGCTCAGCTTCGTACTCAACAACAAAAATGTAGAGCTCTTCGACGTCGGTTAAAGCAAGAGCGTCGAAATAATATCAGCTCCAATACTCTGCTTCTTTACCTACAGGAAAGAGTATGTTACAAACAAATGATTATACGTGCCAAATTAACTAGCTGGCGCAAATTTTGTTCTGAGACAACATCTGTTTATGGTATTCATCATAAGATTGCGACCGACAAGCTGTTTAAGCCAGCAACTTTCCATCGTTTACCTACGGTTAGTACTAATAGTCACCTGACTGAATCAACTCTATCAGAAGTCCTTGACACGGTTTTTTCTACAGATGATAATTCAACTGATTCCTCCTTTCATCAGACTATTCGAAATCAAACTTTTAGTCTTCAAACACCACAGACGATGTTATTTTTACTACTCAAGAAATTCGGCAAGTCTTACGCCAACTCCTAATAAGCGCGCAACCGAGTCCAGATGGTGTTGACTATCGTATTGTCAAATTGATTATTAGCACCAATCTCAGTCTCTTCCAAAGCCTGTTTAATAAGCTTTTCAATAGTGGCACTTTTCCTCAATGTTTTAAAATTGGCCGGTGATCTTATTTTTTAAAGAAACACCGTGATCCAGCCCGAGCCGATTCTTATCGCCCTATTGTTTTTGTTGTCAGCTTTTGGCAAAACTTTTGAAAAACTTCTTATGGGACGATTGAAATTTCATTTGCACTGAACAAATTATCTGTGTCCTTTTCAATACGGTACGCACCAAAAGATCAACACTGCATGCTTTAAAGGAAGTTCAAGATACCATCCTGCGCAATAAGTTCTCCGGCCACCACACAGCGTTTATCTCAGTGGATTTAAAGAGCGCCTTCGATACGCTGTGGTGGCCGGCAATTCTATATGCATTAAGAGATGCCAATTGCCCCGCAATTTATTTAATACTCTTGCACATTATCTGTCTGATCGACATTTGATCATTTCCTATAATGGAGGCCTGGTACATAGATGTCAGACTCGAGGGTGCCCGCAGGGTTCATGTGCGAGCCCCTTTCTCTGGAATGTGACATACAATCTTATCCTTAAGCAGCCACGGCTTGAACATACTACTGTGGTTACTTATGCCGATGATACCGCGTTCATAGTGCGAGGTAGGACTCGTGATCAACTTCAAGCAAACTCACAGGAGACCTGTTCTTTGTTTCAGACTGGATGTGAAGATTTTAAATTGCTGTGGCGACACACTGCCTTTCTGTGGCAACCCTAAGGAATTCGTCTGTCACGAGGATCACGTGCCCAGATGATGCATCATTACGTCTACGTCTGCTTTTCTGTTTGATAGTTAGTTGCACTTAAGATTTTGTAGAATTAGAAATGTCGTGAAAATAAATGTTGGTGTTTTTAAAAAGTGTCGGCTCAGATTTCTAACCTATGATTTACTTGTTAAGCAACAAATTTGGCGAGCCAGCCAGGATGAATGTCACAGGGTGACATTATCGATTTCGACACTTGATAATTTACGAAAATAAGAGAAGTTCCTAGGTGCAAACATGGATGATTTAGAAACAGTAAAACAGAAGCGGATAGCAATTAGGAGTGCATTTACGAAAACAGCTAATAAATTAGATGAACTGATACGATCAGATTCTCCGGATTTGGACGATTTAGAAATTTATTTAGATCAAATTTCAGAGAAGTATAAAACTTTACGAAATACGGATCTCTTTTTTTTGAACTTCTACAGAAAAAAGTCTGTACTGAAGAAGAATATGAAAGAGAATTTAGTGCAGCTCAAGAATATTACGATAAATTATCTACGTTGAAAGTAAAAGCCAACAGAAAAAAGGATAAGTGTTCACAGCCTTCTACTGGGTTCAATAAATAGCGATTCTTTCTTCATCAGGAATAGTTACAAAGGCCGCAAAACAGAAACTGCCAGAGATCGAACTGGTGAAGTTCGATGGAGACTGCCCAAGAAAGTGGTTGACATTTTGGACAAGGTTTAGTAAAATACACGAAGATACTACTCGCATCGACAAGAGAGACAAGTTTCATTATCTACTGCAATCTACGAAAACCTGAGACTGAGCCAAGAGCAATAGTGGAGAGTTTTCCTGCTACGGAAGAAAATTACGAAAAAGCCGTGGAGTATCTCAAAGAACGATTTGGAAATGAAAATGTTTTAATTCAAATTTATGTTAGAGAGCTATTAAACCTGGTAATCAATGAACAAACAAAAGATAGACTTTATTAACTCTTTAATGACAAGTTGCAAACTCAACTACGCGCATTGGAATCACTCGGTTTAACTAAAGATAAATTTGCAGTTGTTTTAATTTCCTTTAGTGGAATCAGCACTTCCTGCTGATTTAATACAAATTTGGGAAAGACAACGAGGTATGTCCCCTGAAACAACAGGTAAGAGTGATTTAGAGTCATTAATTGATTTTCTAAAAAGGGAAGTAAACTGAATTTAGAGTTAAACTTACACGATGTTTTTTGAGTTTCTGATAAAGTAAGTAATAAGAAAAATAAGTTTTTTGACACAAAACCTGTTGTTCCAGCTGCATGTGAACTAATTAATGCAAATAGTAGTAAGTGTAATGATAATTTTCAAAGTATAAAAAGTCTGATACTTGTATTTTTTGTGAAAAATCCCCATTTGTCTGAAAGTTGTAAAGATGCATCTGTAATGAGTTTTAGAATGTAAGAAAGATATTATTAAGAAAAATAATGTTTGTTTTGTGTGCCTTAAGAAAAACCATAGAGCAAATCAGTGCACGCTAAACATAGGTGTACCTTATGTAAAAATCGACATTTTGTGATTATGTGCCCTGATTTGCCTTCTAACAAAACAAAAAATGTCACAAAGTTAGGGAATGAAGAAAACAAATCAGGCATTCTTAATAACTATGTTAAGGTATCAGATGTATCTCTTCAAACTTTAATTGTAAAAATTCAGAATGGTTCTAAAGAAATGTTTGTACGAGCAATTTATGATAGTGGTTCTATGAAATCATATTTATGTAATGATGTTGCTCAAAGGTTAAATTGTAATGGTATTGGTGAATCAAAAATTAAGCAATTTCTTTTTGGTGGAGTTGAGACTTCAGAAAATGTATATAAAAACTATGTTATTGAAGTAAGCAATATATATAGTAAATATAAGTGTAAATTAGAGGTGCTTGGTCAAAACAAAATATTGTTCTGAAATTAAACAACTCCCATCTGGTTCGTGGTTACGCTGAACTTAAGTCACATGGTATCAAATTAAGTGATTTAGAAAATGGTACATGTAATGTCAGATAAAGATATAAAATTACTTAATTGGTGCTAGGATTTTGCTGATAAGTTGCTAACTTGGAAAAAATGATTCCCCTTACGTGCGGCGTCAGCACGGTGCATATGCAGTTAGGCTGGAAAACTGTTGTTATGGGTAAAATACGCACTGGCATATTTTGAAGCCAGACTCTTACGGTAAATACTAATGCATCCCTCCTAATTTCTTCTCTGTTAGTGAAGGGTCAATGTATAAGTGATCTCTGGAAGTTAGATGTTTTGGGTATTGGTGAACCTTCCGTAAGTAAAACCAAAACTCAGTTACAGGAGGATACGCAAAAATCTTTTGAAGAGACTCTTACGGTAAATTCAGAGGGAAGGTACGAAGTAGCATTACCTTGGGTGTTGGATAGCTCGCTTTTACCCGAAAACAAAGTGATAGCAGAAAAATGTCTTGTAAGTACTAAAGGAAATTAAAAAAAAATTAATGACTACGGGAAATTTTGACGCTTACGCAGACATTTTCCAGAACTGGTTAGCACTCAGGATAATTGAAAAAGTACCGGATAAGAATAAATGTAAGGGTGTACATTACTTACCATACCTCATAGAGCAGTTGTTAAAGAAATAGTAGCACGAGTATAAGACCGGTGTTTAATGCAAGTTCTCATTCGCCTGGTTACCCATCACTGAACGATTGTTTATCTACTGGACCAAATTTAATAGAAATTATAACCTTCGATTCTTAATCGGTTTCGCAAGAATTACGTTAGTGTCGCTTCAGATATAGAAAAAGCGTTCTTGCAAATATCTATAAGGGATAAAGATCAGAGACTTTTTGAGATTTGTATGGTTCAGTATGGATAATCAAGAACAAGTTGAACTGTATCGGGCATAGAAGGGTAGTTTTTGGTATTACGTGTAGTCCATATTTATTGGCTGCACTACAGTACTACATCATTTGAGTGTAGTTCCCGAAAACTTAAGTCATACAGCAGGAGATTTTGAAAACATCCCTTTTATGCAGATAACTGTGTGGCTAGTATTGAATTCAGAAGTAGAAATGAGAAAGTTTGTAAATGAATTACAAATAATTATGGCTTCGGGTCATTTTAATTTAAGATTCCTGGAAATCTAATATAAGAAGTGTTGTGCCAGAGGAAGATTCCTCCACGGAAGGAGATGTGTCTGTTTTGGGCCTTGTATGGCATACAGATTACAGATACCTTATCTTGCAAAATAAGTCAAGATATAAAATTGGATGACCCAGTTACTAAAAGACTAGTTTTAGCAGTAGCTCATCAGGTGTTTGACGTTATAGGGTATACGGCTCCTGTAATGTTGATTCCAAAACTAATTTTACAGGAAACTTGGAATTTAAGGCTTAAATGGGACGATGTTCTTCCCGATGAATTAACCAAAAAGTTTAAGTTTGGGCTTAAAAAGTTGTACTTGCTATCCAGTATCCAAATACCTAGATGGGTAGGTCTCAAATCTATTAATGAAGCTGTGAGTATACATCTCTTTTGTGACAGTAGTAAAAGTGCGTATGGTGCATGCGTCTTTTTAAGAGTGCAGAGTGGCAAAAAGGTGAAGGTTAGTTTGATTCACGCAAGATCGAGAGTAGCTCCTTAAAAAACCTATTACGATCCCTCGATTAGACTTCTTGCTTGTAATATTGGTTCTAGGTTATTGTCCTTTAGTTATTAATAAGATTGGCCTACATGAAGTTCGTATTCACTGTTGGAATTGACTCCTCGACGGCTTTTAAGTTGGAATACGGCGAAATCAATGTTGGGGAGCATTCGTTTTTAATCGTGTACAGGAAATCAGGTCGTTTGACCTCCCCCACTGTATGGCGACATGTCCCTGGTAGTCTCAATCCGGCTGACCTACTTTCTAGAGGTTGTTATGGCAGATCAATTAATAGAACGAAAATGGTGGGAGGGACCTGATTGGTTACGGGAAGATGAGGCAAATTGGCCTAAATCTAATGATGAACCAGATGAGGATCTATGGTTAATTCAGAAATACGTAAGACAGTTATTGTTACGTTGGCAAAGAGTGATAATTGTATTGGATGGTTACTATAAGTATTTATCATCATTTAAGAAAATTGTAAGAATGTTATCATGGATATTCAGATTTTATAAATAATGTACGTAAGAATAATAATAACAACCATTCTAAGGATTTTACTGTATCTGAAATAGAAAAAGGGAAGAAATAGCTTTAATGTTATTAATACAAAAGAGTCGTTAATGGTGAAACAGATGATAAGCTAAGACGATTCAAACCATTTGTCGATAGCCAGGGTCTAATAAGAGCTAAGTCTAATGTTGCATATCGTGACGACTCTAGCAGCTTTAAGTTCCCCATCATATTACCTTCTGAGCATCCAGTAGTCAAATTATTGATATTAAGTGCACACAAAGATTTGTTGCATGCAGGTACTACATTATTGATGTCGCATTTAAGAGAAAGATACTGGATCTTAAAATCACGTAAAACTATAAGGAACTGTATAATAAAATGTGTAACATGTCAGAGATTTAAGGCTAAAAGAGGTGAGACAGTCCCAGGCGTTTTACCAAATGATAGGGTTCGTGATTCAGCCATTTTTGAAATCGTAGGGTGTGATCTTGCAGGACCCTTGCATTTAAAGGATGGACGAAAATCGTATATTGTGCTCTTCACCTGTGCGGTTTATCATGCTATCCATATGGAACTGGTTACCTCATTAACAACTGAATCAATTTTTTCAAAGCTTTAAGTCGTTTTATCGCACGTCGTGGACGCCCTACCACCATCTATTCCGATAATGGGAAAAATTTTTGTGGGTGCAGAGAGAGTTCTGCAAATCCATTGACTTAGGGACTGCCTCTGCTCTAAGCACTGCTGAAAAGAGAATACAATGGAAATTTAATCCTCCATCCGCCGCTTGGTGGTGTGAATGGTGGGAGCGTTTAATACAAATTGTAAAACAAATATTGAGAAAAATTTTAGGTCGTGCTTCTCTTGGTATGAAGAGTTACTCACCTGTCTTGTGTGATTGTGAAAGAATTGTCAACTCAAGACCACTTACGTACGTGGTCTGACGATATTGAAAGATCCCTTGCCTTTAACTCCGGAAAAATTTCTGCATGAAACTCCACAGTCGGGTTGTACCTGATATTGACAGTGTGGACAAAGAAAAATTGAGTAGAAGAGCGAAGTATCTCCAGAGAATGAGAGGAATTGTTAAGAGTGAGATTTCGCTGTGAGTATCTAGGGCGCAGTTAAGGCAGCAGTCTATAACCTGAAATTACAAAAATAAATCTCTCTCTGTGTAGGAGAAATTGTCTTGTTGGAGGATCAAAACAAAAACCGTGCATATTGGAATTTAGCACGCGTTATTCGAGTGATCCCTGGTCGAGATGGCAACATAAGAGTTGCTCTTGTAAAATGTAATAATTCAGAGGTTCTTGAGACCAATACAGAGATTGTTTAGATTGGAACTGGATAATATAGTAGATAATACTCAAGAATGATCAAATTCCTTTCACCACCAGTAGTGGTACAGTTGTAAAATCATGAGTAATATAATTTATGTCTTTGAGTTATTATGATTTATTTTGTTGTGCTATTATTGTTGTGGATTATTACCTCCTCAGTATTAAATTTTGTTTTCAAGTAATATGATTTAAGTATTAAGTAATTTTCTTTGTTATATAACCCTTCATTTATATTGAATGTAAGTTTTATGTTTTGAGTGTGTAGCCATCTACTCAAAAGGTAGGAGAATTGTGGCGACACACTGCCTTTCTGTGGCAACCCTAAAGAATTCGTTCTGTCACTAGGATCACGTGCCCAGATGATGCATCATTACGTCTACGTCTGCTTTTCTGTTTGACAGTTAGTTGCACTTAAGATTTTGTAGAATTAGAAATGTCGTGAAAATAAATGTTGGTGTTTTTAAAATGTGTCGGCTCAGATTTTCGAACCTATGATTTACTTGTTAAGCAACAATTGCAAATCTCTGAAGAGAAATCGCAAATTCTGATCATTCCTAAGAAGGGTGGTTCTATGACTCGTCAGCCGAGAATAACCATAAATGGCAAGCGTCTTCGTATTAAACGTGAACTTAAATACCTTGGAATTATTTTCGACTCAAACTCAATTGGATTCCCCATGTCTTAGATCTCAAGAAGCGTACTGCTGTGATTGCTCAACGCCTTAAACTTATGAAGGGAATCCACTGGGGCTTAAATCCACTTCTTCTTAAAGTTTTATATGCAACAGTAACTGAAAAGATTGTTTCATATGGTGCTGCAATTCGGGCAGCACCAATGCAAGGACGCAAAGTTCGACATTTAAATAGTATACAGAGACCATTTCTCTTAAATACCACTCGTGCCTTCCGCACATCACCAACTAACGCTCTTGCAGTTGCAGCTGGATTCTTGCCTTTACCTATTGCGGTTGAAAAGGATGCAGCTTATCAGTTGATTAGACAACTTGGCTGTTCAGTTCAGTTTGGAGATCACTCTTTCTCCTCCCATGATTACGAAGCAGCAATAAACAGAGAAGATCAACACCCCTCCCTCTATGGAACGGGAGTTAAGTTAATCTCAAACCGAGTCATCAAGTTTCTCTCATGCTGATCTGGTCTTTTATATACTGATGGCTCTAAACTGGAAGATCAGGTTGGCTGTGCATATATAGCCATACTGCAAGATCAGACAACTCTTCACCAGTGGAAATGTCATCTGTCTTCTTTTAACAGCGTCTTCCAGAGTGAGGCTATTGCTATTCGCTAAGCCATACAAACAATCATTAATCATCGATATTCACATGCCTATGTTCTTACCGATAGTTTCTCCACATTGTATGCCATTTTAAATCCTCTGCATTCATCCCCCATTATTGTGGACATTGAAACTAGCTTGTCTCGACATAAAAATCTACGCATTTGTTTAGAATGGACAAAAGCTCATGTGGGGAACTACAGTAATGAAACTGTCGATACGCTTGCTAAAGAAGCAGCACAGAATCACGAGATAACACAGACCTTGACGGTTTCACGCCCAGTATCTAATCTAAAGCGTCACTTACTTCTCGCAGCCATCTCCTTGTGGCAAAATGCATGGAGTTTGGAGGAAACAGGTCGCCGAGCATTTGCCCATGTCCCTAAAGTAGATTTAGACCGATTAATCATGCCACCACAGCTGATCTTCTACATTACGGGCCATGGTCCTTTTCCCTTATATTTCGAGAGACATGGACTCTCCTCCTCAGCACTCTGTAGTTGTGGACAACTGGGCAATCCAGAACACTATCTAATCGATTGTCCACTTACTACTGAATTCCATATTCCTTTTCCATCAACGGATAGGACTGCCTTTAGTCGTTTTTTGATTAAGCAACGGCATCAAGTCAAAACGATAGTCCGTGTTTAATTGACAAACTGATGAATCTGGGACTTGATCTTTGTGCCTTATAATATCGACATATGATTCAACTTCTTCAACTGCTTTGTATATATTATAACCTATTGTAGCCCATCTATTTTTATGCATTGAAGTGTTTGTAACCATTGTAATCTATTGTAATCCATCTGTTATAAATCGCTGTGTATAGCAGCAGTCAAATATTTGTATATTCCCTCTCAGAATCTTTTTCTAAGTGCAATCAGGTAATATTGTCTATAACAGCTGTCCCTGTACCTATGGTACATTTATACCAGGGGCGTTTAGTATCTGTATATCTGCATTTGCCTATTTACCGATGAATAATAATGTTATCTTTTGCATATGCACTTTTATCAAGTGCTGTTAAATATCTGTATATATTGAATTTGCATATTATCTGTTGGCATATGTATTGTCCTAATAGTCTCTTTGCTGTCCATAGCAGCTATCAATGTACTTATGGTACATTTATTACCGGGTGCGTTAAATATCTGAATATATTGAATTCGCATATTTATCTGTTGCATATGTCCCGTCCTAATAATCTCTTTGCTGTCCATAACAGCTATCAATGTACTTATGGTACATTTTTTATCTGCTGTTAAATATCTGAATATATTAAATCTGCAATATTTACCTATGAATAATAATGTTATTGTCTTTATTTTTATCTTTTGCCCATGTATTATCATACATATAACTGTCTGTATTCCCCTCATAATGCACTATGATAATATCTACAATTGATGTATTTTGTGTTTTTTTCACTGTATAATAGTATATAATATCTTGGCATATCTAGTTTGTGCGTTTAATGATACATTGTTTTGCCAGTTGCTGTTAAACATCGGTATACCATATACTTGCATATTTGGCTATACATATACTGTTACTGTCTTCTTTTCATCAATTGCCCATGTAATATCATACATTTAATTCTCTGTGTAATAATAACACTGAATGTATGGGGGTCGCTAGAGATTTTCATTGTATAATATATCCAACCATTATCCATTGTTTTAAATATATTCATTGTATTTATACCAACATTGAATGCATTTTGTGGTTTTCACGGTATAATATATGTTCATAATTTTGTGGCATACTTAAGTCTATATTCATCCTTTGCAAATTATAGTAACACATTTAACTGTCTGCATCAATTTATTTGCTGCATAAGGATCA